GAGTTGAGTTCTGAGTAGAGAGCTTTCATCTGAATCCTTCTATTCTTCTCAATCGTTTTGCGATCTGCAGATCTTGATTGACTTGTGTTTGAATGGCTCTGATCCATTGTTTTGTGTTTTTCTTCCTTAACATCACAAACACCCATATATACATGACCATGATAATAAACCCTAATAATAACCACACTTATTTATTATTATTTTTTTGAAAAGAACCACACTTATTTAAAGAGGTAATATACTTGGTATAAAGTTACATCTTCACTCTCCTAATGATATTTAATTAGCTTTGTGCTATGATTACTATTTAGTGAAAAAGGTGTGAGGGAAGAAGAGTATATATACAAAAGGCTAAAAAGCTATATATATGTAGATATTGAAGATAACAAAAGAAAAATAAAGTGAAAAAGAGCCAAGTTCTTTAAATATAATTATTGCCTTGCTATTATTACTTGATTTTTCATGTATCGATAGAGTTATACAATATGAGTTGTGACAAATATAGTCTAGTCAAATGTTAGACCATATGAGTATACGAAATACGAGTATTCTTGCTATTTCAAGCATTCACAATAACGAAACTATAATTACAATAATTTTCGTAAATGGTAAAATTAAATGATTGGATCATATGAGTATGATACTTGTATTTCAATTAAGGTAGTCGTACTTACATTTACTTGCTATAGTTAGTTTGATAATGTATGAGTATGATACTTGTATTCCAATTTTTGTTTTCACCGAATTCCATCATTGGAAAAATATTTTCTATAAAAGCGAAAAGAAGAAAGATAAAATTAAAGAAAAGGTATATGAAAATGGAGAGTGGTGGGGTGAGTATGGTCAACTTTTTCGGTAAGGCAATGCGTGGATCTTGTTGAACCACTCGAGTACAGTCGACATTTAGACATGCTTATAATCTTTTGTTCCCATCACCAATTTGTAGATGAATCTTTATCAAATGTTTCTCTATTATTATGTGCATTATATATTACATATTTCAAAAAAAAATATAATAATAATAAAAGATTTAACCCAATTTGAAAACAATCATCTTCTATATACACACTGGTGACAGTTTGGAGTTGTTGGATGCAAAATGTCAAAGGCAAAGTCTATATCCACTTCATTCGAAGTAATTTAAATCATGTTGATCAAAATGTCTCAGATCCTAGTCAAATGGTCTACTTTTTCCAATCTCATGCACGAGTTCAACGCATTTTGTGTTCAGTTTTGTTATTTTTAATTTATCATAATTCAAAATTTTATGACTCAATTAGTAAGCTCGATCAACCATAACAGGATTTACGGATATTATCGTTGTAAACTCTTATTAGTCAACAAATAATCAAATTTTATTTTAGTTGAATCGTGTAGTTAACAAAACAAAACAAAATATGAAATTGTATAGTAAATTTTTTAATAATTTCTTGATATATTTTACGCATTATCTAGATATATTGGTTCCATTTGTCATATTTCAAAAAGAAAAATCCAATATGATTACTATGTTTAGTTTAATAGTTTATATTTCCACCAAAATCCAAAATACTTGTCAAATGTTTTTAGTCCACTAAATCTGTAGTGAAATCGAAATCGAAACATGTTCTCATCTTTCGAAATTTTGACTTTCGACTCTATTATACTCACATCCTTAAAAGTTAAAATTGTAAGGATTTTGATTTATGAGATCCAATTACAAAAACAATCTGATCTTAGGCCGTAGAAGGTCGAATCAGATTCTCAAAATGTGAACATGTTTTTTTTTTAAAGGTATAATAATCTCTTATTAATCCAGTAAATAAATTTTTAAAACATTAATAACACAATGCTTTCAAAACTCATGAACTTTTACATTCATACATCAAAACATCAAAGATAGCCTTCTAGCAAAATGCTTCTACCTATTTGCTTAGAATGCAAATCTTTCACAGGTTTTGATTCTAACCAATTCATCGACGCGACCTGTTTCTCATCTTTCGTGCTCCATTCCGGCAAAACCTCAACCATTATCTTCTGCAATAGTTTCTGCTCAATACCATCTCGCAGAAGCACTTCAAGGTCTTTGATGTTCCCCCTCAAATCAAACAAGACACTGCATAGTCCCCGGCTATAACAGTACTCCAAAATGGAATCCAAGTTTATCTTTTCCAATACCACGGCTGCAACTGCGCTATTGCTGATTCCAGATTCTGCGACCAAGTCTTTTTCAGTAAACAATACAACTTTCGGACCCGATTCTTCCACGGTATTGGAGGAAGCAGCGTTAGGAGAGTGTTGTGCATTGCTAGCTACTAGGATTTGAATTGGTTGGATCGAAACATTAGCTTCTTGTGAGGAAATGCTTGAAAGTTTATCAGAAAACGAGGAAGAAAGTATTATCGCATCATACTCTTGTAATAGCTTTGAGTAGTATCCACCGATATCCGAAGCCCCTTCACCAATCCTGTCCATAAAACAACCATTGACAGATATAGAATACCTGCAAAGACGTTAACAACTTTAAAAACAATCTACTACATTCGCTTTGTCTCACTCAAGAGAAGCGATGAACTTTACCTGAGGGCGAGAAAAGGCTTTCCCGTTAACATCCGATGGATAAATCCCTCATTCATCTTCTTGCATAACTCTTCTTCTACACCCACAGTAACATCAATTCCAGCATCTATCAAACGACTGATACCCGAAGAAGAAACTATCGGATTCGGATCAACCATCCCAACCACAACTCTTTTCACCTTAGCCTTAATCAATGCCTCTGTACACGGCGGTGTTCTCCCGTAATGATTACATGGTTCCAAGCTAACATAAGCAGTCGCATTCTCCGCTAACTCTCCAGCATCTCTAAGAGCAAACACCTAACAACAATGCCAATAACAACAATCCACCATGAATCAAAACTCATTACCACCTACTAGCCTCCAATTTCACAATGATGGAAACACAATGCAATCTATCAGATCTGCATCCCAAAGACACTACTGAAAGTTTTCTCATTTCCATAAAACCAGCAATGAAAACTGAAACTTTTGTTGTAATCATATTCTTGTAATAATGATTACATGGTTCCAAGCTAACATAAGCAGTCGCATCCTCAGCTAAGTCCCCAGCATCTCTAAGAGCAAACACCTAACAACAATGCTAATAAACAACTCTCCACCATGAATCAAAACTCATCAACACATACTCAGCCTCCAATTTCACAATCATGAAACCACAATGCAATCTATCTAATAAAGTTCTCTCATTTCCACAAACCCATCAAGAAAAACTGCATTTTTATTGTAATCATGACATGAAATCAACGAAAATCGTTACCTCAGCATGAGGCTGACCAGCTTTAGGATGAAACCCTTCACCAACAATCTCTCCATCTTTAACAATCACACAACCAACCATAGGATTAGGACTTGTACACCCAATTGCTTTCTTCGCAAGTTCCACACACTTCCTCATGTAAAACGCATCACTGGATGCTTCAACACCTTCTTCGCTTCTCATGGCAGCTAAAACAGGATTGATGAAACAAGTTTGAGATTTATGTAATGTTCTGAAAACGTGTTTTGGGTTCTGAAATGAAATGAGGTTGTTGAAAATGCGGAGAGGATTTGAAGAGAGTGATAAAGCTGGAACTGAGATTCGAGGAGTGATCGAAGAAATCGGAATTTGGGGACAAGTGATCTGCATATCACTACTGAATCTCGCTCTAAACAAAAAAAAAATTGGATTTTGATGGTTAATCTTCACTAAGCTGACAATAATCAAACCTCGGCGAGTGAATTGCAGATCCAGCCGTGTAGAGAGTGAAAGGAGATATCGAAGAAGACGATGAGAAAATTGGATTCTTAATTCAAAGAATCGGTTAATTATAACCGGAAATCAAAACCACCGGTTTAGTATGCTATTTGATTTGGTTCAGTCTATAAATTGATCCGGTTTTGATCAAGAACAATAGAGAGAGAAACTTAAGGAAAAATGAAAATTTCATTCACTCATGAGACATGAGCAGATTGAGTTTTTTTACAGAGAAAATGTTATAAAGAAAAAAAAACTAAGAAAGAAGACACAACACAACACACACTACCTTGAATCAACAACATGCTTGGAACCTACAAAACAGAAGAGAAAAACAACAACATTGTTCCTAAATAGAAGAAAGATCTTCATAAATGGTCTTAATACCAGGTCTTTCAGAGACCGATCTTATACACCTCAAAGCAATTCCAAGAACTTCTTTTATGCCTTTCTCTGTAACCGGTGCACTTCCCATCTCTTGAGTCAAGACTGAGTCAAAGCATTCCGAGCCACGACCTTCTGCAACGCGTAACCTAACCCAATCCGTTAGATCAACACCTTCTTGTTCACCTGTGATCACATCTCCTGCGCATCTACCTGTTAGGATCTCTAAAAGTATCACACCGAATGCATAGACATCTGATTTGAAAGAAGGTAATGGCTTTCTTGAAGCTGCTAGCTCGGGAGCTCGGTAACCGAGGATGCCTGCGTCTAGAATCTGTTCGACTGTGCCTGCTTGTGTCATGAGACGGTGGAGGCAGTAATCTGCTACACGCGCGTTTAGCTCTGCTCCATCTAAGAGAATGTTTGTTGCCTTGAGGTTACCGTGTGGAACAGCTCTGTCAAAATGTAGATAGTTAAGACCACGTGCCACATCGACTGCGATTTTTAACCTTTGGACCCAGGCCAAGGGAGGGCCTTTCCTGCCTGGTCGATCTGAGATCAAACAAGAACTGTAAGCTCGAGCAAATAGTGAAGATACATTAAAATGTTTCTTGAAGGGAGTGTTACCGTAAAGGAAGCTAGCGAGGCTTCCAGGCGATATGTAATCTGAAAGAATAAGCTTTTCGTGTTGCGTTGGACCCCAGTAGTAACCTCTGAGAGTCACTACATTAGGATGTCTAATGTTAGCAAACTTCTTCACCTCTTTAGCAAACTCTTTTCTCTGCTTTGCGACGCCTTCTCTTAGCCATTTCACCGTTAAAAACACTCCGTTATCCAGTGTTGCCCTGTAAGAAGTCCCATGGCTACTTCTTCCAAGAACTTCAGCTGGTGCCCTTGACAATTCCTCTGGCGTCAGCTTGATCGAATCATCCAGAAAATGCAGCTCTCCCACAAGTCTATCTGGTGACCTAACATCAAGCCGTGCTAGTTGCTGATCAGCTGGGAATGAATCTCCTGAGCCAGGTGACCAAGATAAATTGCTCGTCTTGGAAGGAGAGAAGCCGGTTGCAACAGCTAGTTTTTCATCTGGACTGAGGATTTCGGATGATGAGCCCTTTCTTGAGGCAACAAGATCTTCTGCAGAAACAATCATACCACCTCCACTGCCTGACGGGATTGTTTGAGCCCGCCTACTAACTTCTTTACTCGTAACACTACGCTCTTCGCGTCTTCTTGATTTGCAGATGCAAAATAGGAGGATAGCCACAAGGATGAGAATAATTAGTGCGACGACGCAGGAAACTATTATGACAACTTTAACAAGAATGTTCATGGGTTTCCTCTTGGAAACTTCTGATTCACTTGAACCAGGGGATCCAGCAGGCAAGAGGAGCTTGCGGTTTCCAGGATAAAAGGAAGGTGGAGGGAAGCTCTTCAGATTCTCTGGCACAGTCCCTGATAGATCATTGTATGACACATTAAAGGCCATAAGGCTGCGAGATAAGTTGCTTGGTAGTGGTCCAGTGAAATGATTCTGGGAGATGTCTAATGAGCTTAGAGAGACCATGTCATTCATGGAGTTAGGCAAAGAGCCAGACAAATTATTTGCTGCGAGATTCAGCACTTGAAGATTGGTCAGAGATCCGAATACACCAGGAAGATCGCCGTCAAAACGGTTGTGAGAAATATCAAAAAGACGGATTTTAGAACCGGAAGAAGGCAGGGGTCCGAGGTTACCCGTCATGCCATTATTTTGAAGGTGGATTTCCTCCAAAGTAGGCATAGATAGTAATGCACTTGGGAGTGGACCTTCTAAGCTGTTAGAACTTATATCGAAAACCCGAAGTTTCGGATAATGAGTAGGTATCCGTTCTGGAAGTGAGCCTGTGAGCTTATTGTAAGAAAGATTAAGATGATTTGCTCGCAGAAGCTGGGGAGTTACGTCTGGGAACGGCCCAGTGAAATGGTTCTGGCTGAGATCAAGATACTCGATATTCTCCCATTTTGACCATCTTGTAAGATTTCCTTCAAACTGGTTGTTTGAGAGATCAAGCAAAACACAACTCCCAGTCAAGAGTGGAAGCTCCCCAGTTAGTGAATTTGAAGAAAGATCAAGAGTGATAAGAGTTGTTGACATGATAGCACTTACTGGCCCTGGAACATTAAAAAAAAACCCGATAAAACATTAGATTTTTTAGTTTCTTAGAGCAACCATTAACACGTAAATATTCTCATTCTATAGAAGGAAAAAGTGAATAGCATTACCTGAGAGATTGTTGCCACTTAAATCCAGTGTTGTTAAAAGCAAGGAGTCACCTTTTAACAAGTTATTGGGAAGGGAACCTGAAAATCTATTGTTGCTTAGCTTGAGCACTTGAAGATCGTAGACATAATTGAAACCCGGTAACTCTCCAGATAACTGGTTGTAGCTAAGATCCAAGACTTTTAAATTCTGAAACAACTGAAATCCACTAGTCAATGAACCTTCAAGCTGATTGTGGCTGAGATTCAAGTGCTTGATGCTCTCAGAAACACCAGGTACGAGTTTCCCAGACGTTGTCACCAATCTGTTTCCACTGAAATCGATATAGCTCGCATTCGTTAACAAGAAAAACTCCCCGTCAAGATTACCATCAATAGAGTTACCATGCAGATCAAGCACTTCAAGACTTGATAGTAACTCAAACCCCCTTGGAATTTTCCCAGTGAATCCATTAGAAGACAGATTCAAGTACAGCAGATCGTTGAGCCTTGTCAAGGACTTTGGCAAAGGTCCAGATAAGGAGTTGCGACTCATATCCAACGACTGAAGCGAAATCAACCCGCCTATAGATTCAGGAATCTCACCAGAAAAGTTGTTACCAGCTAAAGATAGATTCCTCAAGCTTACTGATCTACCAATCTCTTTAGGCAACGACGAAGACAACAGATTATCAGACAAATCCAGGAACTGGAGGCTTTTGAAACTGCCTAAATTATTTGGTAAGACACCAGAAATCGAGTTGTTCGACATAGATAGTTTAACAAGCTTTGTCAAGTTGGAAAACATACTGAAATCAGCATCTGCAGACAAATCCAAATTGTCTAAAACAACACCAGCCACATTACCACCATTGCAGACAATACCATTCCATGAAGAAGGACAACCATTGAAGTCGATGGACTCATCGTTCCACGAATTAAGAACAAACCCTGTTGGGTCATGTTTGATTCCTTTCTTGAATTCAAGCAATGCCATTATGTCCTGTGATGGAAGTTGCCCCATTGCAGACAGGAAAAACATGGACAGTAGCATAATCTTAGATAGATTCATCCTTGACTTCAATAAAGCTACAGTTTTTTTTTTTGCAGAAACCCAATAACTTTTCCAGCTCACCAAGGCAGAAACTTCATGGAACTCAAAGTAAATCTGACAATGAAACAAGACAAAACACCATTAATGTTACCAAAAATAAAGCTCCAATCTTTCCCAAAAGCATCAATTGAAGAAATCTCACATTGAATAACGAATCTTGTGAAGAAAAAAGAACCCAAATCTAACAAAATGCAGGATACTACTGAGTGCGAGAAGGAACAATCTTGATGAACCAAAGCAAAATCAGCTGAAAAAACATTAAATGAACAATGGGGCTAATTCAATATTGGGTCCCATTCCGAGATCTAACCTAGCCTCAACGCAAAGAGATAAAAGGATTGATTTTTAACTTACAGGGATAAAAAAAAAAAAAACTTTCTTCACTGCAACAACAATGCCGACACAGTTGAAGAAGAAGAAGAAAGACAAAAACTTTGAAGCTGAATCATTTTGTTTGTTTTGAGCTCATGCAACTGCTACAGAGTTTTGGGGGGTTTTTGGCTTAAGCCACTGAGAAATCTTTGTGGGTCGCTTTAAAAAATTGTCACTTTAAACTGTTTAAGAACCAAACAAAGAAAGCCAAAACAAAAGGAAAGATAGAGAAATGGCTAGTTTTCACGTACGACAGTGACGAACGACAAGGACTCCGTAAAGAGAGTAAAATGAATATGAGTCTCTTGAAGCGTGTGAACCGGAAAATACCAAAAATTGATAGAGAAATAGAAGAAGAAAAAAAACAAGTTTATTGGGTTCTTTTGGGTTCACGAGAAAGGAATTATAGTTTAATTTACTTTTTCATCAGTCTTTTTCGACTCTTTTCAGTGAGACGAAAATGAAAAAAAAAATGGGGTTTTTTTTTTTATTGAATGTAATTAGGGATTTTACCCGCCAAAGGAATCTTAAAAAGTAATGGTTTTAGGGAGTGACCATGGTGGACGTGAAAGGGTTTATCTAATACGGTTTTTAGTAAGGGTAAAAATGTCATTTTGTAGAGAAATTAAACCAGAGTACCAGACATTGGGAAACCAAGCGAGCATTGCGCAATGGCCATAAATCTCGGTACAAAAAAATTGCAATAATCAAGTAAACAGGGAAATGTGGAATCAAAATGATTCATGAAAATTTTTTGTTCAACAATCCGTAAAAAAAGAGTAATGAAAATTCAGACAAAAATAAAAAGAGTAAGAATGAATATTCGGAGAAATAGTAGTAATGATTATTTGAAGCAGTCCAATCCAACATTTATTAAAATGTAGTAAAATGTAGAACCAGTATAAATACCACGTAGGAGTGTGGGTCCTACATGCTGACTCCGTTGACTCTAAGTCAACATAAACAAGTGAAGATTGGGTTTTACTGATCAATTTGAAAGTTAAAGTCTACTTTTAGTAGAAGCTAGGAAATTAAGGGGTCATAAAATTCAAAAAAAAAAGGTAAATCTGACTCTGTTTATGACGAAGAAGACTAC